GGGGAGGAACACCAAAGAGAAAAAAAATCGAGGGGGTGGGGGAAACAGAAGAGTGATTCTCAGATGCAAAAGAGACGGATAGGCACAAAGGCAGAAAAAAGGTAAGATGAGTACTGTGAAAGCGGTGGAATATGACATTCAGTGGGACCATTGTAGTTTGAAGTCAGAAGTCAACTGCCGGTTTGATAGACATTTTGCCATATGAGTATACGTTGCCCAGGATGCACCACGTGGAGGTAAGTCTATCGCACACCCCAGTCAACCAATATACAAATGGCATTTCTAATTCCCATTCCTTTGAATAGACATACTTATTAAATCAGTCTAGTTATAAATATGTAGGTAAGTTTTGTACATAACTTGCAAGTGAGAAGATGTACGTGAATAGAAACTTAAACGCTATTCAAAGAAGTCATTGAAACTTTGCCTTAACGAAAATTAGTGCTACCAGTTAACCCAAATGAAGTCAAATCAGTATACAGACAAACATACATCTATATAGAGGGAAGTAACTAAATAAGCCCTTGACTAAAAACTTGGTTATTTTCGTAAAAGTCCAACTGCCTGCAGACAAATAATGTAATTCACATCCGATGTAGGTTGCCCCGAGCGTTGAAATTAATGAAAACATAGTAATTGAGTGCAATTAAGGTTACGCTACACAAATGCTAATTATTGGAAAGATCATTGTTCAATAATTTTGTCAGTCTTAATTGTGTAGCACAGATCACACACCTAAGGAACGCGTTGGACTCCCCTTACTCCAATAAATATATTATTGACTTATCTATTTCTGGGTCAAACTTGTATCATTAATAGGAAAATAGAGACCACTTTAATAGAAAATATATTCATAAAAATGGAAAAAATAACTTACGTAAGAAACTCTCCTGCATCCTGTATAAAGTCCGTTTGGCTAAACTCGGGATAGATGAAAAGAACAGGCCAATGGATGAGATTCCTAGCGTCAAATGAGATCTGTACCCCAGCGTGTTCCGGCAATCCCACCGGTGGCTGCTTGAAATCAACAGCAATATTCCTTTTCTTCAAGGGTGAGAAAAGAAGGCTCATTACTTAAGGGCTTTCAGTACATAGGGAAAAAAGTAAGAACACGATTACCTTGAGAATCATGAACACATTAGATAATTTGCCAATTTGCTCAGCTTTCTCATTCTTCTTTTTCTCCATTTCTGCTTCAAGTGAGGCTTTTAAGTCAGAAGCCTTTTGCTTCAGCTCTGCCAAAGTGGTATTGTCAGGATCAACTTGGAGACCAGCTTCACACATTTCAAGAGCCTCAGATGCTTTAGAAAGGATCAGGAGAGATTTAACAGCCTGCACATAGGCCTTTACGTGAGCAGAGTCGATCTTAATAGCTGATTTGCAATCTTGCACACTGGAACCGTAATTTTCTAATGAAATAAAGCGAGAAATCGTGTTAGCATTTACAACGTAAGTTTAAATACCAAAAGAAAACTCATAGCTAGAAGGTTTAAAAAGGTGATATTAGAAAAGCACCAAAAATATTATAGCAATACAGTATTACAGAGAGAACATTGGCAATAATCAACGAAAAGGACTTCTGTTTAAAAGAAAATAATTGGTAAAGGAGGATATGGAAATAAGTCAATTTAACAGAAGTAAAATACTCACTCCATAAGCCATTGGCTATTCCACGATTAGTGTATAAAATCGCAAGGAGCTTCTTATCTGAAGGTTTCGCATTGATACCACCAGAGTACGCCAAAACCGCTTTTTCATATTCCTTTTTTTTCACATAATAATTGCCCTCCTCTTTGAAGGCCTCGGCATTTGAATTAGGATCGTCGCTTTCGTATTTCAGTGCCCGTAGTGCCTCGTAGGCAGGATGTCCTTCCATATCTTCTGCCGATTTAGCGAAGAACGGATGTCTAAGAATTTCTTCCTCCTCTTCAGGAGTGAACGTGGGTTTTCTAGGTTCATTTACTGTAGCCTGCGTTTCCGATGCCATTTTACTATTGAAAAAATACAGGAAATTACTAAAACATACACTTTAAAGTGGTATACAGATCATTTATGAGAGACTTTAAGTATAATTATTAATCACATGGGATCACAGACCTAGACAATTTCAATGCAGGCGCTGGATGTAGATGAGATAAACAATAATATTAAAATGTTCAATTTCAGCAAATTTTTATTCATATTTTCTGACAACTCCCTTTTTCGTTTCAGTTTCAAGTTTACTTTTGTACGTAGGCAGGTTTTACTGACAATATTTACCAATAGCTTCTTTATTATCATTGGTAATGAGGAAAACTAAAGAAAATAGCTTATTTGAAAGCTTAAGTGGAACAAAAAATTTCATACTCTTCGTAGTGCGTTTATTAATGGTTTTGAGATCGTGACAATTATTTTCCATCTGCATTGTTTTCATATGGTAAATGAAAGTCGGATTTATAACTTATTTATATCCCACATATTGAAATTCGGCAGTTTGATATTGCTTTTTCACTTACATTTTGTCATATAATTTCCCGTTCTAACTAATTCTTCTTTCTTCTAAACACATGCCCATGCTTGCTGTTTTCCAGCATACGGCTGGTCCCTTCTAAATCTATTATCATATAGCATTTTCTTTTTTGTCTTCCAACTGATTTGTCTGAAGATCATCAAAGATGAGTTACGATCCAGTGACTTTTCTGATCTTTAGATTGGTTGTTCGAAAGCTTACTTGATATCAATGTCAAGAAATAATTTTTTCCTGACGGTTTTCGATCTTCCTGAAGAACAAGTTTCCAATTTTAGATACCTTTGAATTGCATATGCAAATTTCAAATGCCGGCCATCAAAATTCCTCAGGTTTGATCTCCGTCCCGAAGTGATAGAATACCGCACTTTAAACCTATGATTTCCCATTAAGACCCTCAAACGCTTCGGTTGTCCTAGCAAATTCTTTGGTACCTATTTCTTGTTAACCTACACTCATCTTACAAAATCTCAACTTCTTCTACAATACCTATTCGCGAACTATCGAAAACCTTCGATCAACCCCATTTCCCGGATCCACATACTTTCTTCTAGTAATTCTAATTCAATTTCCAAACGCATGCTCTAATGTTCTAAATTCTCAACCTTCTTTAATGAGTTTCCCTTTGACATCCCTGCGAGTCCATGCTCAATTAACCTTTAACTTTAACAAGATAGCAAGGAAGGAAGGAAGGATGGGGCAAAAAAATAATGTATTAGGTGTGCATTGGCAAAATTACGTATAATATAATAATATAAACACAGTAAAGATATACACAGCTTGCTTTCATGCTCCAAATTGATTTGCACTTCTTCATCGTTAATAAAATTGAGGACGATAATCACATACAAACACATTCAAACAAACACATTAAAGTAAGGGAATTTGCATCAATATTGAAAATAGAGAGAGAGAGAGAGAGATAATTAGAGTACTCAATCAATATTCGCCCAAATTTATTGACTCAATGGGTCGGGATATCTTTGTCGAACTACTCCCGAGGTTGGTGAGACAATCCTACTCCTACGTCTGGATACCACATTCTCGGCTTGTGGTTGTTCAACGCCAAACACGCTGTCCTCTATGGAACCTCTTCTTTGCCAAACGGCACCGAATTCATCTTTTCTATTAGAATTGTTCTCTTCATCCTCTGGTTTCTTGGTAAATTTGTCAATTAGCCATTTTGGATGCCGTGTCCACTTAATCATTGTCTCGGATGATCGATAAAGGAAAATGAGTTTTGCAAATAGAAGCTCTTCCAAGTTGAGTTTGCCATTCTCCCTAACGAGATAGATATCGTGGCAGAGGTTGAGCAGTCTATCTACATGGGGCAATTCTTGAAGAGAGATCTGGTAAGAGATGTCACTGTAGATCATACGGAGTATTCGACTTGCAAAGAAAATGTAAGCAGCGTACATTCCAATAATACCATAGGAAGAGAAGATTTTTCCAAGCAAATTATCTGATACTCTCTCATTGAAGATTATGATTGAGAAAAGACGATTAGGAGAACGGTAGTGCATATCGGCCTCTGAGAGATTATTTACACTACCGTAGCAAGGTGCTTCAGCTAAACCCACTTCTTCCATCACCCACCACCTTTGATGTGTGAATCGATCAACTTCTAGGGAAGCGCTAACATTAATATAAGTGTATGGTTTGGCAAGATTGCCTGAAGGATTTCGAAGATTGCTCTTTTGAGCAAATAAGAAACGAGGAAAGGCAAGATCTAGCCGAACAGTCTTGGTACTTGTAAGGTCAGTTGAACCTGAAGACGATAAGACAAGACTTTCATTTAGAACTGCCCGAAATTCTAATCGCTCTTTCTGTGTGAGTGGACGATTGAAAAATTGTTCCACACGTGTAGCACTTGAATCAATAGGTCGAGGCGTTCTAAAAAAGATGCAAGAACTGTAGAAATACTACTGCATATAGTACTTGTAAAGTCAATTTAGCAGATTATACCTCCTGCAAGTGACATGGAATGTGAGAGACATCTGCGAGGAATTATCAGCTAATTCGTTCATGAGTCGTTGGTACATAGGCGGAGTGATTGTCCACAACCGTTCGGATACAGTATCAAAGGTCATGTTACTAACGTCTTCTGTTTTGAAATTGGAGACAAAACCAGTGGTTGCCTGAAGCAAAACAAAAAATAAAGAAAGAACTGTAACCCCCATTATCGACATTTACCAATGATGCACAGTATGAGGGAGAGAGAGAGAGTGAGAGAAAACTTGCCTGATTAAGAGCATTGCATTGCCGAATTTCAGAGAGGAAGGAGTCATTTACATGGAGGAGGTTATTTTCCCGTGATGTGAAGAAATACAAGGCCTATATAAATAAAAAAAGCAAAACATCGAATAGAAGATTCATATCTCCCAAACAAGTGACAAAAAACAGTAAAACTAAGTACTTCAATAACCAATGAGCCGAATATCTATAATAAATCCATGTAAGCTAAAAGGGCAATTCAATGCACTTTTTCAAATGAATCTGTTTTGTGAAAATGACAACCCCCCCCCCCTCAGTACTCCAAAGTAGACGAAAGTGACAACCGGTTGCCTGAGCTAAAAAACAACGAACTGGAATTGCATATGAGATAAGGGCAGAGTTGTCGTGTTAGCACTCAGCGCAGATTGAGTTCGAAACCCATAAACTTGATTAAATGAATTGTTAATGATACTTGAAGTAGGAGGAGGCTGTGTGAAGAATACACTCATAATGAAGTTAAGAAGTGAAAAACTTACAGGAAAGCCCCCAACAGCCAGCGCCTGTGAGCATTCAACGGGGACGTTAATCGCAAAGGTGGTATCGATGAAGGAGAATACTACCAGAGGTCCCCAGAAACACACGAATGCAAAGAGTAGGATTAGCATTCCCACTAGATACTTCACCCAGAGTGCTCTCTTCCTTCCGAGTGGAGTGGGATACTCAATCTCCGAGCGTCGCCAACACTTCATAACAAAGACCTTGGCGTAGATATCCTCAAGTTCCATCCAGTGATAGAGGGAGAGTGGTGAGTCCGTCCACATCCAATCCATGACGCTGCGCACCTCGTACACGAAGGGCATTATAAGGTAGGCCTTGAAGAGAACCAGATTTAAGTAGTTGTAATTCTTGGTGAGGAAATTGCCGAGAATGTGGCGTGGGTAGCCAGAGCGAATTTGATAGGCAGAAAGACCAAAGTAGATGCACTTCACAAAGTAGAGGACTGCCCGTGCTGAACCCACCGTGAAAGGTCTACCGTTGGGAGAAAAAAGAGTAAACAGCTACATATGTTAATAGGGGGGTGTGTGATAGACTTACTTCCACGTGGTGCACCCTGGGCAACGTATACTCATACGGCAGTGGTGCACCCTGGGCAACGTATACTCATACGGCAACAAAAGTCTATTTATCGGCAGGTGACTTCGGACTTCAAACTACTATGACCCCACTGTATGTCGTATTCAATCACTTCCACCATGCTTATCCTACCTTTTCTCTGCCTTTGTAACTGTCTGTCTTTTTGACATCTTTAAATACTCTTCTGTTCACCCCCTTGACTTTTTTCGATTTGATGTTCCTCTTCCTTTCTGTGAAGCACGAAGTCAACTAAAGGGCTAATGATAACTATCATAAAGCCTGCCATTTGATATACATAAATAATATTTTAATAGGAAACTTCCAGCAAGGCAATGCTACAACATGCATACAGTTAGGTGAAATGAAAATCTCAGAAAGTATTGACTGAAGCATGTGATTATAGCAAAATTGTGGAGGCAGACCTTGCTATTCAATTCGCTATCTGCGACTTGACTATATATCAACGACACCTTTCATTATCTGCCCTACCTTACAGTCGTCTCTTGTCGTGTAGTGGTGGAAGACTTGGATGCTAGTTCTGCTTCTTAATGATTATACGTCAAGGATACCTTGCGTATACAACGAAATCGATGCAGGCTGATAGCAAATTATTGAGACTATCACAAAAGGAATGAAGGCCTACTTTTCGCTCATGGAGTTTGGCGAGAGAAAAATTTTCATCGTTTATTGCAAAAATATGAACATGAATGAGAATCCCTCAATCATCACACTAGCTTTATGAATACTGAAAAGTAAGGAGCATAAAAAACTTGAAATACTCACGTCATGGTAATTTGAGGCAGAATGAAGAAGAGATAGACATGAATCAATATCACATGGAAAATTTGGAAGATGAATTTTCCCAAAACCTGCTTCCTCAGAAATAGCGCTCGATCCAAGACAATAAACACTGATTGGATAATTATCATTCCAATGAAGGGAGCTGGAATCTGAAAGGAATTACAAAATAGAAACAGACATTGTTAAGTGTGCTCTATTTCAAATGGGTAGGTAAAAAATACAATGCCAATTTCTTACGCGATTGGTTTTAATGAACTCAAAGGCGTTATCACCCATTCCGGTCTAAAATGATGGAAGTTAAAATCCAACTTAATAAGCACCACTTAATATGGCGGCTACTGAAATTGCATTTAAGTAGACTTACACTTGGACCGAAAGACTGATAACCAAAGATGATGATCCAAAATGCGAGGAACTCGCAGATAAACATATAAACATATACATCCACTTTTTGATTGTATCTCGGGTCAGTCATTTTGAGGTAGAATCTTCGCATCTTAGTGATTGGGTTCAAGGTGGACGAGGAGGAGGAACCCTGATAACTAGATGATTTAGAGTATGTGGACACTATCAGCTCCTCTTTCTTATTCGAATTCGAACTTTGGCCATAATTCCTCTTAGACTAAATGAAGAACAGAAAGGATTAAAATGGCCAACACTTGACTACTTGTAGTATTTCAGTAGACTTACACTGGCCTTATTAGCAGCGCCTGCTTTGATGAGATCTTCCTTGAATTCCGTGTCATCTCGCCACAAACCGTAATTTTTGAGGTAGCTTCGATGCATGAAAATGAAGAGAAGCTGAATGAGATCCCAAATAGCGTAGGAGTCTGTCTTTTCAACACCGAAGATGACTGGCAACCAGTGCGTCCTAGCCAGAGTGGCTGAAACTTGATCGGGAGAGTTGAATTTGATGAAGCGAAATTGGAAGATATACTTGACGATAATCACCAACTGAAAGCAAAAAATGAGCCCAATTATAATTACAAAAGCTCCGGTGTAATTTTTTTGATTTCGCCACATTCATACATGTCGGTACATTGCGTGACAAGTGAACAAATAAAATCTTTAAACGACCACTTGGCTTACGTCAATGCAATCCAAAGTGATCTGTGGCGAAAGCTTAGGTTAAATGAAATTAAAGTGAAAAGTGAGACATTTTCGATTGAAATGCAAGTACTTGTAAAAAAAGTTCAAATGCACCCAACTGACAGGTAGTTTTAAAACTTTGGTGAAGTTATCTATCTAATTTGGAAATCTTTAAAAAAATTTTTACAAGCTTAAGGTGAAAAAACCCCATCAACTGCAAGCATACAAGAATGATAGACTTGGCAAGTTTGCTCTCAGCCCGAAAGACTAAGATTGTTTCTGATCATTTGGGAGTTGGACAAGAATTGGGCTGATTGTGATTGGTCCTTAAATGTCTGGAGCTGTTTCACCAACCTCCTCTCTCTCTCTCTCTCTCTCTTCTGATTCTGCATTAAGGACGAAGCCTACAACATAGTCAGTAACCGAAATCAGACACCTATCTGATTAACTCCGCTTAAAAACAACCAATCAACGCATGCTATTGAACGGGCCTAACACCAATATTTCATCAATAAAAACTGGTATTGATTGACGAATGTGAGCATTAAATCAATGGACGAAATATAACATATTTTAAGTTCCTATTTTAACCCCTTTTCGTACCTAAAGTAGACAATAATAAAAAAAATGTGCACGGCTGCTATCTCAATAGGTGAAATAATTGTTAACATGTTTTGATATCCCGATAAAAAAATTAAAATTCTGCAAAATCCTACTTTTTAAGCCCAAAAGTACAAATCGTACGCTACGCCACAAATGCTAATGCATCATGTTTAAACAAGTAGTAAACGAAAGTGACCAAAGACGAGAAATAGTTTAAAGTCGAATTAAGTGAATAAATCTCCATACGAAGTGAAATAAACCATCGAACACACAAAAAGGGGGCTGACCTCAGTATAGGTGATGAGGGTGATCCAGAAAGTTTTGGTAGGTCTTGGCACCGACAACATTCCCCAAAGAAAAATCATAAGTGGGTAGACCAGAGAAATCACATTTGCTGATCTCATGTGATTGATGATTAGCACGAGATAGCAGACCAATTCAGAGTGCACGACAATAAGATTTCCAACAGCAATGAGCAGCAGGAATAGGCTTGGTCGAGATCGTCTGAATTCCCTTTCCCTCTGTTCCCACGTGAGAGCTTGCGCTGGTCTCGAAGAATCAAGCACTTCGTCCTGGAATTCATCATCCAGTTCCGGAACACCTTCAATAGACCCCTGTGCAGGTCGATTTCGCCTACCCCCTGGTATTCCTCCTCCGTAAGCGTTCGAATCCTGCGCCGAACGATAAGGACTTGCACCACCAGAAATTACATCCAGCACAACAGACTCTAGTGTCACCCTGTAAGAAAGGATAGGGAAAAATGACTGAACCTCTTTCAACACCCTCGAAAAAAAACCACAACAACAACAAAAAAAAGAAAAAAAAACACGAAAACAAAACTCTAACGAGAAAAGAAAAGGAAAAGCAAAACAAGGCCTCAAACCCTGTCATCGAAAAAAACTTTCGCGCGAGTCTGGATGGGAATTCAGCCGTGAATGAGGGATCGCGCATTATCCACCATTGGAATTTGCGTTTTGAAAGTGAAACCACACTAAGAGACCGGTTTCTATTATCCCAACGTGGAGAGTACGAAAAGAATGGCATTAATTCATTCATTCAAATAGCAGAAAAAAATAGAAATTATTCATCAACCGCATAGGCACCACCACTAAACTAGGTACTTTTTCAGCCAACTCAACTTAGAACTGACCTGGTGCCGGTTGAGCTGCGATTGAAGATGTAGAGGGCCTTTTGTTTGACCTTACGCTTCTCAATATCGATTGTTCGGCGAATGCGTCTATGCACACGAGTAATTGAGTTAAGCCAGACGGTAGTTGTTTGAATTGTAGAGAGGAGAAAGATGTGTAGAACGAGACATCCCGCTTTGAAACGACTCCAACAGCCTTCTGATTTATCGGCTTCTGTATTTTCCATAACCTCTTGACTCACTATAGAAAAGGGGTAATACTCACTACTTATTACAAATTCGATGACAAACTAGAGGTTAAGTGGAGAAACGGCATGTGGGGTGTTTAATAAATCACTTACAGCGTATGATTTTAATTGGTAGGAATACTAAGGAAAGACAGTATAGGGAAGTTGTATGTGCTACTTATGAGGAAATTAGTAGGTTTAAACTCACGATGGGAAAGTGTGCCATCGGAATCTGTACGACAGGGAGTCTGCCCGGAACCAGAAACTGCGATAGCGTAGTCGTAACGTAATGGAGCACGACTCATAGTAGGTTGTTCGGGCTCATCGTTTTCGTCAGCCTGTGAGGGAAGATATAAGATTACACAAAGTATGAAATGACATGTGTCTAGCTTTTGAGCCGCTCCATGGTAATTCACTTGCCTCATGGGCTAGAGGATCAACCTCATATGGAGCACGAACACTGGAAGTATTGAGGCTACTAACAGTTCCTGTAGCAATTCCAGCAGTGCCAGTTCCAGCCTGAGATCCATCCAAGGTGACCTGTTTGGAAAGTGGTGGTCTCGCGGGCTTCAAGAAAGTCGTACTTAGTTTGATTGCTGGCGCTGGAGCCCCCTCAGCATCATCTGATGGTCCTGTCGTTCCATCCGCCACTATGCTCACCCTATTTTGATGAGTGATCATGTTTCTTCTACGATACTGCCTGGCAGCCGATCGCACGCCATGCTCCATGGCCTGGTTGAGCAGCTGGAGCGGATTCATGTGATTATGAATGTCAATATCATCGTCATCATCGTCATCAGCATCCTGCATCATCAAGGAATCCTCTTCCTCCTCTCCGTCGTTGTCGGCAATTGTTCCAGGATCCGGTGATGAAGAAGCCGCAAAGGTGACAGAGGGACGTAATGCATTACGCGGCGTCGGTTTCGTATTTACAGCCAACTTTAGACGATGCTCCTGCCTTTCTGCAACGTCCTCCATCTCCGTGCTGGTTGGGAGAGGTGAAGGTGTGAGTTCTGTGCCTCTTCGAACCATTGGTCCAGCAGACGCAATTCTGCGATGACCTTTTAGCTTAGGAGCTGACTGAGACTGAGAAGTGAATGGTTGAGATTGTTGCTGCACATTCCTCGCTGGCAAGGCCTGCAGTTCTATTCCTGCATCAGAGGTGCTTGCAGCAGCAGCAGCAGCTAAAGCTTGTTCATTGCGTTTTGCGCGTCTCTTCGCAGCCAGGAAAGCTTCCGGGTAGGAAGACATTCGACGATGCGTACGAAATGTCGCGAATGAACGACCAGAGCCTACATTGTTTGTGGCGTCATTTATTGATTCGGACGAACTGGATGGCTCTCTCCCCCCAGTGTCTGCACGCACAAATCGACTTCGTGGCTTTAATTTGGCCTGCTGTGAACCAGAGAATGCAGCTGCTGGTTGAGGGCTACAAGGCATGAAGGTAAAAATGAAGACAATCTTGTCATTTCAAAAGCATAATAAGGGAAGTTAATCAACAAGATCTTGAAAAGTGCCAACCTCAACACCCTACATCACGCGGAAGATACATAAGCGCGCTTTTAAGGATTACTAATCTCAAACAACCTAATTTAAGAGAGGGATAAATTTCTCAAGGTTGCAGCCAATGACCTATAGCAGTTGCCCGACAATATCCATGCTCTCCTTTATAGAACTGGCCTGAATGCCTGTGAGTTGTTCCAATCGCCAATACTTACCTAATGTTATTAAAATATATGAATTTCCGTTCCGTTATTTTTGGTATTGTACACCTTCCAATACCATAAAGAGAGATTTAGCGGGTATACTACAAGAAGCCACATTTGCTATCCCAAAACATTTCGACAAGTGCATTTTCACCTCTTCTCCTAAGGACACTAAGTCAACTGCACACCCAGCAATATCTGATGGAGAGATGCTCCATGGCGACAGAAGCCAGGCTCTTCCTAGTAGTAGTGGAGAGAGAGACTTCAAAAGAATCCCCCATTTATATACAGAGGTTCAACTTACTGACACTGCGCGGGACTATAAGGACACGTGTAATTGGCGAGAGCATCCAATTGAGCGGGAGTGGCGTTTGGCCAGGCAGCACGAATATGATTTCTCTGCAACATTTCTCGGTGACTTAGCTCCTTCCCCGTCTGATGGTGAACTCCTTCAATTGTCGAGGGAGTGGCTCCCAACAGTAGTTGAGAGGTTGTTGTCGTACTTGTCTCTTCCTCTTCTTCTTCTTCTTCATCCTCAGGGTCGCCTTCGAATTGATAGTAGTCACCGGATCTGATCACTTTAAGCAGGAGGAAGAGGGAGGAAAGAGAGAAAGATTGTGATTAGTATTCACTCACACACCTTAGACACACAGCAACATCTTAACGGACAAACGAACGAAACTATGTCAATATTTGGGTCTACTAATGTGAGCCTCCCTCCCCCTCCCCAATCATTAATTAAGAAGTTTAATCTCAGCCTCCATGACTGCTAAAACAATCAGTTCACCCAGTCTGCACCTAACCCTAATCGATAAACGCAGACGTAATCCCCAGTGGTGATTGACCAGATCTCTTAAGATGTAACAAGTTATTAGACCAAAATTCAATGAGGGTAAATAGCATAAAAGGCAAGAAACCTTTCCCTACCCCTCAAATACCCAGAAGGAAAGAAGTTATGGCTACGACAAATAAACGTTAAGACTCTTACAAAACCAGCCAATCTTAGCCGAAATGTTAGACAAATTGTACTTTTTTATCTTCGAGACCAAGTGTTCACCTTTTAGCAAACAGCCCAAAGACGTATTCGAATTTGAGCCGAATGTACGGGGACTTACGTATATAATGCTCGGTGATATTCTCCATATTCTTGCCCGCATCCTTTTGATGTTGAGCGATTCTGTCCAACTTGCGTTGCACTCTCTCCAAATCCCTCTTCTCGCGAATAATCTGCTCACTGATGACTTGCATCAACTTGCGATTGATCAGGAAGGCGCCCCGTGAAGCAAAGCAGCTCTGCACGTTGAGATCAAAAACAACGTGACGGAAGGAGGATGTGGTGAAGATTTTGCGCTGGAAGATAATCACTGCGAAGCAAACCACGTCCCAGTGGAGGCCGTTGGACACAATTTCACAGCCAATATCACTTGCTACAAAAAGGTATTATCCAAACTGTCAATCTCAACTTAGGCTATTTTAAGCATCATACGAATGTGCTAACCATATTGTGAAAAATGTAAAAATAATAATAATAGAGAAAATACAAATGAAAGTGAAACCCTCCCCCCCCCTTCTCAGTCTTATCGATTTTTTTTTCACTAAAATTAACGTTTCGGGAATTATTAAGACCCAAAAGACAAAAATGTCAATCACAGCAAGGAGTCCAGAGAAATCCGCGTTGTTGAATCCTTCACACCTCACCCCACTCCCTCCTGGCAAAAATAGGTGATAGTGAAGGTCATACACTTCTCTCTCCCCCCCCCCTCTCCCCCTCTCTTGTGAAATCACTTTCTTACTACAAGTACTAATTAATTGTACAGATTAAATATAAAAAAGTGGTTTAAATAGCTGAAGGGACCAACAAAAACTCGAAGCATATAAAACGAACAAATCTACAAAGTTCAGCTGGCATTTCTGCTGATCCAGGGGCCATGAATTCGGCAATGATAAGCTCAGGATTGTGTGATAGCGTCTAACTAACCATGACGAAGTTTACAAAGTGTTTGGAAATCATAGTTGGCTAATTAGGCAATTGAAGTCCCTCTAAGCGTATAAACCAACGAAACCCCCCCCCCTCCCCCCACCACACACTCTTTTGATGAATCGGCTATTAACTAGCTTTAAGAAAAGTCCAAGAGAGCAAGGTAAAAGATACTAAATTTGTCATCATGGTAATAATAATTACTGCGACAAAAGCCTGACAAAACACGACTATAGAAGTTGAAAGACAGCAAAAGCATAGTTAGCGACAACTACCATTTACTAATTAAAACAATTGATACGGGAACTCACGGGAGAGGTTGTAGAAAAATGCTGGGACAACAACAAAAAAAAAGCAGTTGCTAAATAATCAGAAATCGGTACTTAAAAATGGGATGAAAGAAATGGCAATTGTGTAAAAGGCTTTAAAGTACAGAGTAGGTGGAAATGAACTTCTCGGTTCAGAGGTGTAATTGAATTAGCAATACTCCCCAACCCCCCCAACTTCTTTCTATAATCTACCGAAATGAAAATATCTTTGCAATTCAAAATTGAATAAATAATTAATATCAGGAGGCGAAAAGAAAAAAAACACAGTCCTTTATTAAGGACTGAAAAATCAAATGAAAGTTTGTGGATTGTCTTTTTCCAATAAAAATGCTATACCGAATCTAAAGCAGTCATCAAGTAATTCGGGGAAAGCAAAATTTCCAAACACCAAATTAGTTTTTTAATCAGCTGTCATGACAAACAAAACCCACATTGAAGACGGTTTTCGCGACCACTTGCGTGCACACTACTTTATTTCCTTAACAGGAGGTGTGCGATTGACTTACCTCCACGTGGTGCGCCCTGGGTAACGTATACTCATACGGCAAAAAGTCTATTAACTGGCAGTTGACTTCTCACTTTAAACTACCATGACCCCACTGTATGTCATATTCGACCACTTCCACAGTACTCACCTCACCTTTTTTCTACCTTTGTGTTTGTCTCTTACATCTTTGAAACACTCTTCTGTTCCCCCCCCCTCTCGACTTTTTCGATTTGATGTTCCTTCTCCTCTGTGAAGTCTGAAGTCAACTAAAGGGCTAATGATAACCATCAAGACGCCTGCCATTTGAAATAAATAAATAAATAAATTTTTTAACAGTCTATTATTGATAAAACAGATTGGGGAAAAGACCAAGTAAAAACAGAAAGGAGGATTGGCCTCAATTCAGTTTGTGAAAAATTGGTGAGACAAAGGAATGCTAACAAATAAGACAAGAGCCGCCATTTTCAGGAGAAGCCACGAAGGAGTAGATTCAATGAAAGTAATATTAAAATAGAGTTCAATCCGTGCCCAATAATAACACAGCACAAGCATATTCTAATTTGAAAAAAAATCAATACGCAAAAAGGCCAATTAGCTGTCGCTTGGCGTTTAAAAAACAAACGTAAAACATGTAGGAGGGGGGGGGGTTGTAAAATAACTTTTTAATGCCATTTTGGGAAGCATAGGGGAGAGGAAATTGGTGAAAGGCGATTCACCAGGTATTAACAATGGGGGACAGAGATTAAAAAAACCATTAGCCTATCTAGAGAGGCCCCCCCGGAATAGTAATAGTACCACGATGAACCGGTTAGACTTCGACACAACAATAGTAGTGCAAAGTGACATTTTGATATCGAGGCAGCATTCATTTCAGATTCTAAAGGTTCGAATTCCATCGTCTCAGAAGCATCGAGAAGAATTTACTGGTCAGAGAGATCGAACTCTGCATATGATTAGTGATAATGTAATCACTTTTGTAATATTCCAGAAAATACGACAAAGGGAGTGTTTAAACCGACATTTTGCCATGACAACAGCGGAATTCAGAACACTTAAGAGTCTACCTTTATTTCATGAATTCTTGTTTATATTTAAACAGCAAATAAAAAATTGAATAGGAATTGGAAAAATGCACCATATGCTATCATCACAGAGATGAAAGTCAAAGGTCCAATTGAGGAGTTTACTCAACTTCAGAAATAGGGCGTCTGGATACCACGTCCACTTATCATCGAACGATCCCAAAAGCTTCCTTAGAATATACGCTTATTCTAAAGTTGGTGGCATCAGTGCACGCCTTGTGTGAGTTCGGGATTCTGAAATTTGTGGTTTCGTTTTCATATAGTGGACGTAAATTTAGTGCTCGGGGCGTGTTATTTTGAATGAGAAGAAGACGAAGAGTGCAAATACTTACAATATCCAACATAGTCATTCCACCCGACCGGATTCATACAGCTGATACCAAAGAGTTGAATAAGCCAGCAGATTCGACTTCCGACTAGTCGATTCCAGTAGACACAACCCATCAGTTGAAGCGAACACTTGGCCAAGATCACGAAGAAGTTGTAGCCCACTATCACGTTCCATCTGCATGGAAACAAAAAATGAAAAATAAGGAAAACGCACCTAATAAACTAATCGACCTGAAACCAGTACCAGCACCTCAGTGAAAGCACCCATATATATATATATATATATATATATATATACAAATATGGGGTGCGGGATAGACTTACCTCCACGTGGTGCAACCTGGGCAACGTATACTCATACAACAAAAGGTCTATAAACCGGTAGTTGACTTCTGACTTCAAACTACCATCACCCCACTCTATGCCATATTCGACTACTTCCACAGCACTCACCTCACCTTTTTTCTACCTTTGTGTCTGTCTCTT